GGTAATATATTTGTGTTATTTATAARTAATGCTTAGAGCCTGCCTAGAGAATGGGAAAAATCTGTGGAACTTCTCTGCTAATATTTTGCTTCTGAAATGTGATATTGCTGCAAAATGTGCGTAGAAGCAGAAAAATTTAGAATATAATATCTATTTTTCCATATTGTGGCTCCTGAAACAATTATACTGGTACAATTTAACTGTGATGAAGCCAAAATGTGACTTTCAATYGTTTCAAACAAATGTAGAAGAATGCATCAGAAATATTTATTCTTTTARGAAAAGCATCCTGTACCACAGATAACATATGCAATTTTATTTCATGTCGTCCTCCAAATGTGGACAGACAGCACGTGATTGTGAGTCATTGCAATGTTCACTACATGCTATAAACAAAATAATTGTCGTCCTAAACCTGTCATTTCAGTGTTTTCTCAGAGATTTTCTATTTCCATTCCACTCCTTGTAGGAGTTATAGGGTTTTTATTATTTTTAATAACAATAAATCTCATTATTGTGAGTAAGCAGGGATCTGTGCTTGTTCATAACCAGAAGAAGATGGTGTATGTTACCTGTTGTGTGTTCTGGCAGCTGTAAACCTATTTCACATAAAGGAAGATCCTTATTTTACTATATATAGTCTTGATCGTCACTGAAGGGGAGGAAATCTGTGTCTCATTTCCACATTTGTTTTTTGTTCCTTCTGTGGTGCCCATCACCAGGGTTTATTTCATGAGGGAGCAAGYTCTAAGGCCAACCCATTAATATGCCAGAAGTTCCTTATTTCTTGAAGGGATTAACAGAAAACATAATACATGCAGGAGGTGCCATGTGCCCTGTGTTCTGTGTGACTCGATGGTCCCTGTCCTGCTTGGTGCCTGCATCCTTTTTGCAGGAGGGAGAGAAGTTTTTTGGTTTTTTTGGTTTTTTTTTGTTGTTTTTTTTGTTTGTTTTTTTTTTTTTTTTTTTTTTTTTTTTTTTTTCAGTGAAACTGATAACAAATTCCATAATGTGCTTGGCACTTGAATTCAAAATGTTCTGTAATATATCAGTTTTAAAATCCACCTGTGCCAAGCTTAGTTCATCAGTTTGATTTGTGTTCCCTCCTGCACAGATGCAGACACGAGGATCCTATGGCTAAAAGTCTGGGAAATATATTTTCTGAACAGCAAACGGGGGCATTTCAGACATAGATTTTTGTGTATAAGATTCCTGAAGTAGCTTTCTCTTAGAGAAAAATTTAAAAAACAAAGTCTGATGTTTAATAATTTTGATTGTGCAGCAATTCTGAGCATCAGAGCCATTGCTTCGAGTAGTTTTGCTGAATACCTCAAAGAAGGCCTCAAGAATGCCTCAAATAGAATCCAAAACTAAACATTCAAGTATTGGATATGCTGGTTTGAATTCAGTATGGATGGCAAAGAATAAATTAGGCAGAAACTGAAATTTATGATTATTGGATTTTTTTAAAATAAGCTGATTTTCAAAGCATTGAGAGAAATTTATTTTTTGTCTTGTAACCCATAAGACTTCTGTCAATCCTTTTAAATATCCACCACCACTGTTAAAATATCGGGCAAGGGTTTATTTGTCACGTGGCCAAACCTGCTAAGTGGAGAGTTTCAGTTCAGTAGTGAGACAGGAAAACCTGAGAATTGTCTTGTCTTTTTCCCCTGTTGCATTCCATTGCTAGTAGAACATAAAATACATTTTAGCTATTTGTAAAATGTGGAAGAACTGCTCTTTCCTTTTTACGAYTTAGTGGTTACACAATTGTAGGATACTTAAAAAGGAAAAATTTCACTTTGTGTCAGTTGGTGTGGAAATGTTATGTAATGTTGCTCTATTTTGGCCACCTCTATGTCATTGSAATTATTAGCCAACATAACAAGCCAAGTGGAAAGGGGAATTCAAAATGGTGAGAGTATTGTGAAAAGTTGTTTGGTTTTCTCTTTTTTATCTTGCCATTTTATTAAATAATCTCGGAAAAGAGMGGGGAAATTAATGAGATGGTTTTGCATCAGTGTGTCAAGGCAGTTTTGCTTTTACACAATAAATGTGTTGCTTTTTATTCTATGTATCTTAAAAAGAAACAAGACTGACAGTATTTTTAAAGTACATTAAGTAGGCATTAAGACAAGAGTGATTTGCGCTGAGAGAGAGGGGAGTGATGTTTTTTTCTCTTTCATGGTGGTTAAGCAAATTTCCTTGTGAGGGAGGAAAAAAGATGACAGCAAGTTCTGGAGGGCTTGGTTTTTTTTTCGATTAACTATAGAATTTTTAGGTTTATTTTTAAGAACAAAAGAAATCTGTTTAAAGAGACAGTCTTGAGTAATGCATACGGAGATCTGCATTCACTCCATTGATGAAATGTTATGTAAACAGAATACAGTGAATATCCTCTGTAAAGCAAACAAGTATTTCTCTAGGGTTATGATTTTCTCTAACTCAGTGGATGTATGGGCTTGTTATCTTTAGGGAGTTTATCACAGGTGGTGTGGTATCTTCAGTTTTCTTTTAAACTTTTTGTTAACTCCTGATGTCATGAGAATGTGAATTTGAAAAAAAAAAAAACAAAAAACCTGCTTTTAAATAAATTTTTCTTATCTACCACCAGTGCTAAGATAAAAATGAAAGATGTTTTTCAGATCCTTTCTGAGAACTCTCAGTAGCTTGTTTCTCTGCTGGGTGATCCTCGCTGCCTTTCACTTCAGTATTTTCTGTAAATGTGCATAAACCTTTCCCAGGCACAGCCACCCTCCACATCTCCAATCACTGAGATTGGAGATTCTGACCATCCCCTGCCCGTTTGTGACCGTGCATCCTGAAATRCAAGCTGCCACACGAGGCTCTTGTGATTCATCATCTCATGCTCCATTGCCTGTAAAGCTGCTTTGAAAGGCCTTTCTTGTGGCTGTTGTTAAAATCCCTGGTTGAAGAATTTCAAAGTTCTTTTTTGGTTGTGGTTTGTTGTTTTTTTTTTTACGAAAGAGAAGCAAATGTTTTTTTTTTTTTTTTTGTTTTGTTTTTTGTTTTTTGGTTTTTTTTTATGAAAGAGAAGCAAATGTTTTTCTCTCCCTCCATATTTTTACCAGTGGCTAGTGAAGCAAAGCACTTCAAAGTTGACAAGCTCCACATTGTAATTCTAGTGGATAATTCRTAGAGAACTGAATAAAGATGTAGCAGGAAGCTGCTTGTTACCATTTCTGCTGTGTAGGCACCTGCTCCAGGTTCTGTTCTTCTTGGATAACTTTTTTTCTGTGCCAATTCTTTTTTTTTTTTCTTATCCTTGCTGACATTTTTAGCTTCTACATSTCAAGATACTCAAAGTCTGAAGGTATGGTCTTCTCCTTCCTTTTAATAAAATCCATTCTTACTTCCATTTTAAACACCATGGAGTGTTCAGCATCATTTTTGTTAGAGGAAGAGGTCTAAATTTGACTTAATGGGCAGAAATCATGTATCTGGCTTTGGAAGTCTGAACACTGGGCAGAAGGGGAGTTCTTTCCCAGAAGTTCCTGTTCCTAGCTACTTGTAGAAAAGCATCCGTTTCTCTTGGTCAATATTCTGCGTCCATTTTCAGCAAGAAATAACAGCTAGGATGTGTTTCTTTGTTCAAAGAGAAAATTTAGGAGGGAAGAAACAAACATGTCAGTGACTTCATAAGCTGTGGCAGGTGGGTACATTTTATGGCAGAGGTTAAGTGGGATGTGAAGGCTTAATTGAAGGCTGATTTTTTGAGTTAGAAGAATTTGTCTTAAAAATGGGTATGGACAGTATTTTAAGTGGTTGTATCTGAAGATTTAATCAAGTAGCTGCTGCACAGCAAGAGTTTGATGGTGAGTGGTGTGACTTTAACACCCAGAGCCACCAAGCAGCTGGTGGAGCTTCCCTGTCATAGGTGCTGCACAGCTCCTTTCATTTGGTTAGACAAAAAAAAAATAAAAAGCCAGAAAAAACACAGATAAACTGATTTTTCAGAGAAATATAAAGAAGTCGCTGTGACTGGCTGCAGGAGAGGGAGCTCACAGCTCTTGAATGTTATCAGCAAAAGTGGGGGGAAGGAGCTGTGTATGAATTCAAAGCACAAACAGCATAAATGTCTGTGACGTGTCAGTTTATCCATCTCTGGGTTTGTGCTGCTTAATAGAGGATCCAGTGCTGACAAAGGACAGTGCAAATATACACTGGGAATGGACAAATGGCAGAATTCGTCTTTCACAGAAATGCACTAAGTGTTCACTTCAGGCTGKCGAGTGACAGAACCATCTCATTTGACCAAACTCACGTTATTGTGTCTTTTGCGCTCTAATTTATTCCCATCATGGGCTGTGAAGTCCTGCTTGGAGTGTCTGTTCTYGGCATAAAACTGTTTGTCAAATTTCTATTAAGCTTAAGGTGAAAAATTAATGAGCCATTCACTTCAGATATTTCAAAACTAATACTGCTCAATTATTAATGCAGCAGAAAGTCAAAGATGTGGCTATGTACAATTACAGCTCAGTGTTCAGTCTAACAGCTTTTTTTGTCTGCATTTTTGGGGGAACATCATTAAAACAGTGTTTCAGGTCATAGAAGGAATTATTTTGATGAAGCCTATCAGAAAACTTTTTWGACAGTTTTAGTTGTTAACTTTTTGTTTTCTCTGATCCTGTCAGAAGGTGCCTTGAATAAACAGATAGTGATGAACTACAAACCTGTTTTAATTTGTTGTGTTTAATTCACAATCTTATACCTGCTTGGACTCTTCAGCAGTTTCCTTCTAGTGGAACTATTGCATAAATTCTGTARTATGTACATGTAATTTTATAGTACATGCTCTTGAAAAAAACTTTTATTTTTTTTCCAGTATGGAAGTACAAAACAACATCTGCTTATCTAAATCAGTTGTTTTATGCTGGATGGTAGATATTTGCCTTTTTTTTTTTTTTGGTTGGTTTGTGAAGGAGAGAAATCAAATTTTCATTTACTAAATTGCTCTTCTCTTTCTGTTATATAAGATGGAAGCTACAGGCAAAACCGACTGAACCTCACGACACTGTTGGTACAACCAATTTCTGCAGTTCTTGCCAGAAAACTCRTTTCCCTACCTGAGGACACTGCCCAAAAAGACAGATGTACACCCCTCCAGCTGCCAGCTGCAGGTAATGCTTTTCAAATAAACTTTACCCATGGAATCTTCCTCAAGGGCKCCAAATCCATTTTCTGTAACCGTTTGCAACTAAGAGGTTTAGGTGATTATGAATATGTTTTGCTTGGATGTTGTCTAGGGCTATGAGCAGTCTAAAAATTACGCTCCTAAAATCTGATAAATGGAAGTTTTGGTTAAAAAAAAAACCTCTTAATATAAGGCATTGAGCACTAATTCTTAATATTGACTTAAAAACCTTTTCTGTGCAGATGCCATCAGTAGGGAGGGTTTGTTAGTGCTCCAGTACGGTTTGTTAGGCCTTGCTGTACTACTGATAATGGGATTTCAACATTAAGGCATCAGTAGCTATAAAATTCTGCGGGGTTTTATTCTATTTCTGGTGTAATAACATTTAAATTCTAAGCACGTCTCTACGTTCCTTAATTTGTATATACTACAGAATAAACAATGTATTGTTATCTGAACCTTCAGGCAGCTTTTTCTCCAAGTTTCCCCAGGAAAACGGACATCATGATAAGAACAAAATACCTTGAGTAGAGCCAGATGAATGCATTCATGGTATCTCTTTAGAAATAATGCCATTAGCAAAGTCACACAGATTACTGTTTGAAAAAACTTGTTGCTTATGTAGGGGAGAAAAAAAGCAAGAGTACAGTCTTCCAATAAAGATACTGCAGTGTTTCCCTGGAGGAATATTTTCCAGGGAGAATTCTAGATGAGGTGCATGTAGAAGAGTAAAGAGTAATTCTGTCTTTGGTTTTGTTTTGTACCTGTCCGTCTTTCACCAGAAAAAAAAATGGTGTCTTTTGTCATGTTGCCTGTTCACATGAATTGATTTGAAACTGTGCTCTTGGAAGGGAGGAGGCAAATCAATTTAGCCACTGTATCCGGTGCTGCACACTTTGATGATAACAGGAAAAACAAATTTTAAGGGCAACCAATGTACTATCATGTGCTGTATCACTTGTTTATTGCTTTTGGAAAGTGATTGTGGAATAGGAGCACAATACAACAAGTCGTAAAAAAGGTTGATTAATTTTATGACTTGTGTTAGCATTTGTAGTTGTACACRCTAAAAAGGAAGGCAGAAGACCTCACGCTTTGTGACTTAGGCTGTTGTGGTTTGGCTGGACTGTTGTCTATGCATGGCTGCCCAGGTATTTTAGAAATKATCTGACTGAACCCACAAACAGTAGAAAAGGAGGAAAGGTCATTTTGGAAGGAACAAATGCTTAACCATTCCAGGTAGGATGCATGAAGCTTGTTAGTATTGAAGGAATTTTCAACAGCTGAAGTGCCTGGAGCAAAGCATGAATTTGAGCTGGCAAATGACACTCATTTTAGAAAGATAAAAGGCTGCACAGTGTCTGTTTTCAAAAAGCTTTTTGAGCAGGCGGCAGGACAGAATCACCTAAAGGGCAGCTTGTTCTGCTTTTTCTGTGACAGGTGTGGCATGTCTGTTTCATTTCCCTGAAAAGACAGGAATTCTGTCAGAGCAGAATTTCTGGAAAGAGCAAAAATTCCAAGCCAGCAGTCGAGTAAGAGCCAGTCCATGTTTGTGTTACTCTGGGTGAACACAACAGCTTGTGTCTGATTTCACGTAAAGCTCTGAACTGCAGTAATCCATGCGAGATTTTTAAAAAACTCTTAATTTATTGRAGAAATAGGGACTAGAAGAAGCAGCCTTGTATAATTCTGTAATGTATTATGATACATTTTTTCCTTGAAGTAATGGTGGAGCTGTTGATGTTCTGGAACATGGAGTTCAGTGCTGTTGTTCAGTAGCAGCCTTAATGGAAGAGATAAAAGACTGGTCATGATGAGAAATGGTGGATAACTATTTAATAACAGTAATAGCTAAAGAGATAATGCTGAGGGCAGCAATGCATTTGAGAACTGTGAAGGTTGAATTTGCAGTCTTTCTGTTGATTTGAAGAAGCTGAAGATTTCACTTCTGACGTAGGGCTCATCACTTATCTGTCAAAAGAGGTGAATGAGCAATTCGGATGATTGGTTGGCTTAAAATTTGTTAGGATAAAATGATCATCATTCTCTCATCAGTATGTTTCAAAAAGCTGAACAGCAGATTCATCAGTAATGATTAAACATTTATATATAGTTTTCTTACACTGCTGCTTTTTTCCCTGAGCCTTGCAGTTTTCAAGAGACAAAATGTGGCAGAGGCAGTGGGAGGATAGAGACAAACATCCCAGATGGATGGAGTGCCCAGGACCTGCAGAGAAAATAGTGGGAATTGAAGTTTAACTATTGGTTTTGTGTTAGATGAAACCAGTAGTTAGATTTGCTTTTTGTTTACATTGTTGTTAATCCTCATTAATCTGAAATTCTTTGTGCCTATGAACTTTTTCCCAAAAGTAGGCAATTAGAAGGAATTTAAGAGTTAACTTTTATAGAAAAGCTGTAAACTTTTGAAGCTTTTCTCTTAAAAAATCTCTTACTAGGCTATTTACTAGAACATTGTGAAGGTTGTTAYAAAACTAAAGCACTCCTATAAACTCCTTTATTTTAGAAAACTAAAACTCCTATAAATATAAATGAAGAAAGTCCTGCTGTGTACAATGAACTGTCATTGTTGTTGTTAAGCTTCCTATCATTTGCGAGATTTCAGTCACGTACAAATTATCCCTTTTCAATTACTCTCTTGAGTCTTTAATGTAAATCTATCTAGTGGGATTTAATTTACCAAGTGTTTTTGACATTAATGACCGTTTACTTTGGTGTTGAGTGSCAATCCTGGAAGTCTGGTGTTTAAACACATCAGTGTCGTGTGTGTAATTTTTCTCTTTGGTTTCAAGTGTCAGTTTTCATACTCACCTGACTCRTGTCTGAGAACAAAGATGATTTCAGAATTTCACCAGTGTTCAGTTTCCAGTGTTTGTGGCATCATCCTGCTCTGTCCCTCATCCTTTTCTTCCATTTTTCTCCACGTTTATGCTGCTGGTCACTCTTGGAGATAAGGACACAATGACCACTGGGTCTGCCCTGGTATGCCTGAGCTCAGTTGGTGGAATAATAATGCAAACATTCATGCAGTGATCTCACTTAAAGATCCCATTTCTTCCCACCACCTAATGCCTTTTCCTGTGCAATAGGTGTAACTTTTTTTATATACTTTAACTTCTAAAATAGCAAAGCCAAAGCATGAATAGTTTAAGTAACCTGAATGATATCAAACTCTTTGTGAATAATAGAGCCAGGTTTACAAAGACTCCAGGCATTCTGCTGCATACAGTGAAATTACTCAGATCAAAATGCTTTTCTAGGTAGAATCTTTTGATCTTTTGTAACCTTTTTTCTGCTCTACGAAATGCAGTCACTGATCAATACTGAATCATCATAGTGACTGCAGTGCAAAGCTCCATTGTAGGCTGCAAACAAATCCGCCTCCTCTAACAAAGCAGGTGAGTGGAGCAGATAACCAGAGCTGAATGGTACTGGAAAGGTTTGTAGCACAACATAATGAATTTTTATGACMATTTGAACATCTATTTTATGTAGTTCCACATGTCAGATGTTCATTATCCTGAGTTTATAGTCAACTCTGATCATGGGAAATTTGAATCATTAATTATATGAAAGGAGTAATTGGAAGAGTCCTTTAGTTTCCATATTATATGATCCTCATCCAAGATAAATAAAGTTCYGTGCCAAGTTCTGCACTAGTGCAAATCAAGCCTGTCTTCTTTTCAGTCAGAGGAAGGGCATGGAATGAGAAAGGATATATATCTCCTGTTAAACTACAGCCTTGTGATATTATTATGTGTTTCTCCTTCGTAGTTTGCTACCTGTCAGAGAAAATAAAGACTRCCATATTTAATCAGCTCTGGCTGGGCCATCTCACACTGTGATATCAATATATAAGTAATACCATAATTTCTGGGTACTTAGACTATGCTAAGCATGAATCCAAGAAAACAAATAGAGAAAGATGCCAGCATATTGTGTAGCAGTGCATGTTACTGTGTCTACAGAATCTGGAGCCGTACATAAAACAGAGTTCTGCAGATGTCTCTTACTGGTGTTTGAAAGAAATACAAATTAAATAGGGAAGTCTGATCTAATTCAGACATCCTGTATATGAAAACTTACAGACATTTACACAGGTACTTTCTGTTCCCTTTTTAAACAGAAGTTCATGAAAAGAATTAAGCATGAACAGTGTAAAGCATTTTTTATGTATCTTCTCTCTACTCCCACCTGAAGCCTCAAGTTTTCCTACCAGAATTGTAAATRATCAAGATATATTTCCAGATTTCTATTCTGTGCCAGTATTTTTCTTTGTGATGCTTTGCTTTTGATTGCTTTAAAGCAGGTAAAGAATGAAAATAGTGTGAGGTTATGAATTTCAACTATACCATCTGAAGCATTTTCARCTCTCTTTGATGTTGACTGTGACACATTTATTCTGTATCACATTAGGCCATCCTAGTTTAGAGCCTCCTTAAAGGACTTTATTCTAGGCATTGCTTATTTTCAAAAGCTCTTCATCTCAAGAGTTTTATTTCTGGATTCCTGGTTGTAGGTCAGAAAAGATGATCAAATACCAAGGAGATTATTCATTAAGCTTTTYGTACTAAGATTTGGCTTGAAGATTCAAGATCTATGGGTATCTGTTCATAAAGGAGGATATATATTGTTAGGAGGCAGGATAATTGATTAATCAATTAGAAATCTGTAAAGGAAAAAATATTTAGATTGTTTGTTGCCTATGCACAAAACAAAGTGAAGGCTTTTTCCTGCAGGGACATATGTCTAGGAGTTCTGACATATTCCTGTACAAATAATTTTATACTCAACAATACTGGACATTGCATAGATTCAATGTTGCTTTTAAAATATGCAGTTTGATAGTATCACACAATATTTTCTCTGAAATTATTTAAATTATTAAGTGTATACTACTTTACATTTATTCACTTTTCTGAGCATGTCATCATGTTGCATGTATTGTTTTGTAAGTCCTGCTGTTACATAAGTGCTTGTGATGATTCCTTTTCTTCATTTACGGTTCTATGTTTGAACTTAATTAAAAATTGACATAAAATACATAATAGATAAGGATTATCTATCTAGAMATAATAGATTCAATGTCCCTTATTTCTGCAGTCTACTGAAATAATGTTGGATTTTATCATCCAGGAGCTCTTCTGTTKAAATCCTTGAATTCAGTTAATATTTGTTTTTTCTCTACTGGAGTTAAATGTGCATATAAGGAAATTTTTGTCAATGATTAGCGAAAACCTTGTCAAATGAGTTCAGTTTTCAAACCTGAGTCCYTAAAGATGCTTTTTAAAATTTAAAATGAGAAAGCTGTCTGATTTTAGGTGTTTGGCACAATCAGAATTCAACCAACATGTTTGAAAATGAGACTCAAGCTTATATTGTCTATATATGAGTTTGGGATGAGGTTAAAAGCAAAAAAAGRAAAGAAACAAGCATAACTTATGTGCTTGTAACAGAACTACTGCAAATAGAAAGCTTTTCTTGTCTGAAGTACTAAAATCATCAGTCTAATGAGACAAAAATAGCCATGCCTTTCTAAAAATAATTATGTACATGTGAGAGGAGAAGGTGTTCATTTGGTATGGGATAATTTACAGATTTCAAGTCAGGAAATAAATAAATAGCAGTAAATATGTTTCTTTAATTTCAGAAGTAGCTTTTGGCTTCCATAAAGACAGTGTATCCCTAATAATGTTAAGGTACAGTCTCCTCAAAGTTTTCCAGAGAATACAGAAAAGAAAAAAAAAAAAAAGAGAAAGTTGTCAAGATCCTTAAAACACAGCATTAGGAAGAGAGGTTTGTTGTCAGAACTGTTTAAAGGGGATTAAATTTTGCTTCTGCTTTATACTCCAAAGAGTACTTTCAGCCTTTTCATCTGGTGTTCTAAGCCTTTAAGCCCAAGTCACTTTAAGCTGACTACTGTGTTACACGACTATTACCTCAAATATCTGATTTCAGAATATGTGTATTGCCAGGAGTTAATTTTCTGTGTCTTTATTGCCAGTTGCAGACTGGAGAGCTGATGTTGATTAAGGAAAAACAGTGAAGTCAATTGTCTTCAAAAGGATTTATCTTCTTTTTGTCTGAAAAGGGGCCTGAAGGAACAAACATCTAAAGTGCTGTAGGAAAAGGAAAGAAAATCAGTTTTGACTTTAAAATCTCTTTTTTTTTTTAAGGAGAGTAAATTGGCTCTAGAATGGTTTTAGGTGAGAAGCAGCAGCAAGAAGTTACTTGCATAGTTTAGATTAAATTTAAGCTGCTTAATCAACATAGCTTGAGCTGTTTTCACTTRTTTCAAAAGACCCCTTGGGACTCCTTTGGACTTCTTTTATTTTTATGAAATATTTTTTTTTTTAAATTCTATAATTTTAACAAGCATGACTGCATGGCATTAATAAATCTTACAGTAACTTACATCAGAAGAGCAACATTAATTACATGACAGATCAACATATTAACTTGCCGTGATTGTTGCAAAGTCATGTGCTGGGGTTTGTTTTTAATTAACTGCTTGKCTTGCATTTTCTTTACTGGTTTGTTCAAGCAAAACAAAGAGTTGTCACAGAGAAGATAGATCTGTTGATAACAGAAGAGGTTTTGGTTGAATAAAAAATGGAATAACTATTACTAATATATTTTTTTAAACAAACACTACCGGTAGGCTTATTTTTTTTCAAATATCAATGAAGACTGGTGAATTAAAATMCATTGTATTTTATTTTAAGAGAATTTTAAAGTTAATTTACCATATGAAGTTCCCGCAAATGAACCTTGAAGAGCAGTATTGTAACGATGTGTTGTTTTTATTTCACATTTTTCASCAAACTCCCCACTCGCACATTCTGTGCATCTCRGGGAACAAAGTGTGGGAACAAACTGTTGGAAATAGATCCGTGGGAGGATAGTAGCCTGGGACAGAGGGAGCAAAATGCTCTGTGGAGTATTTTAATTTTGGTCTCTGGTGGTTGGGGTGTGGACATGGAGGGAATTGTGTCCCAGAGATGCCTTCAAGCAGAAGGTGGAACACTTGTAGAAGGAAGAGGTTCTCCTTGCAGGTCTGGGCTCAGGCTCTGGCTGTTGTCACACTCTGTGAGTTAGAGCAGTTGAAGGTATTTTCATTTCTCTCCAATAGAAGCTGTGACCTTTCAGATGAGCTGGATKTTAAGGCAGTCTGTTTTCATGCAAATGAAACATTTGGAAGGTATCAGCAGCTCCCCATGGTTGGTTGTTTGGTTTCCTCTGTCACAAACTCAGGAACTCGTATGGTTATTTTGTCTCACCTTTTTTTAATCTATTTAAACTCAGACATTTACTCTGCTCTGGCTTTATCTTGTTCTACAGTCTCAACTGGCATGGCAGTACTGGCAAATTCCTAACRTTTTAGCAGCTTTTGAAATTGTTCTGCCTTTGTGTTTACACCRTTTCCTCAGCTGATACCAGCTGAGCCAAAACCCCTGGCTTCTGTTGGCAAGTGTTCACAAGAGCATCACCAAGGGCTGTGCTGGCACAGTGATGGAGAGCTCTGACTGTTCCCATCTGATTTAGAGGCTTTTCTCCAGAAGGAAATGTAATATAAACCAGGTATAATTTTGTGAATGYTATTGATAGGTTGACCTGGGTGAAGGATTAGGTGAGAAAAACCTATGAAGATTAAGGCCYGTTTCATTATCACACAGTTATGTAAATCCTACTTTTTTCATTTTTTCTTTTCTGTTGTATTCTGGCAGCATTTACTGAGTGAATTCAGTGATCTTTTAACTCAAGGAGTAGAGATCTCKTTTGAGATTCCAGCTTTGAACCACACTGCTAACATGGGACTAAGAAAATAACACAATATTTTATGTTTTAATCTTTGGTTCCTCTTCAGTATTTTTTTTAAACCTTTTTCTTAATGTGCTTGGAATTTATATATGCGGCTGTACATTTCTTGGCTGGAAAAATAAGTTTAACATTTTCTTTTTTTTTAATCTTTCAACAGGCAGAAAAAAAATCAATCTGACCATTCAGTCTGTCACAACTTACAAGACAATTTCTAAYGTCATTGGATATTTAAAAGGAGCTGTATTTCCTGGTAAGCATCCCTTTGTTATTTGTATTGATGATTTATTTCATGATGGCTGGGTGTCATAACTGGGATCAGGATCCTATTTTGCCAGATAGTGCACTAATACAGAGGAAAGAGAAAGACCTTTTTGTAGTCATCTTGTGATTTATGACAGGGCAGAATATGAGGGTTGAACAGAGGATAAACTGAAGGGGATATTTTAGATACAATAAGCTTATTTTTACACAAGMAGCAGGCATTGCACGTGGACACAGAGAGTATCAGTAGTTTGTTCCAAGTAACTGTGCTATGGTTTTAATTTTAAAACTGTTCTAACACTTGCTGCAGCCTTATTTTGTGTTTCAATCATGCCTTAAGTTGGTTTTATACAATTCTGTGAATAATAATTACRGTTCTCCATGTCTGATAATTGAACAATAAGAAGTACAACTGGGACATAAAACACAAACCCCCTCTGTCCTTTGATGCTGTACATAGATAACGTGATAATCAGGGCTTCATAAGATCATTTGGAGATTATTCTGTCAGTAAGAGAATTTACCTGAAAGGTGAAGGATTTCTACAACATGAGTGAATGCTGTTGCTGGTTACTTACACTGTGCAAATAATTCCTGTAGTGCAGATGATCATCGTGCTTGCCTTAATAGTCTTTTATTAGGTTAAGAAGAAAGGATGAAAATTTGTTTGCATTCCCTTTTGAAGGGGCCAGTCATTTCTTATTTTAACTAGCGGAATGAAGGAGATGGAGAAAATTTTAAGTTTATTCCTCTTGGTGAAATAACAACTTTGTTTTGTGAGCACAGAACGCTGTGCTTCTCACCAGAATTTTTGTTTGTTTAAAGAAGCAGAGGAAACAATTAGCACAGTGAATTTAATTCCTATGAAGGATTTCATTTCCTTCATGAATTTGAAGTTACCAGTCTGCTATTACTAATGTTTTGCAAATAGCTGTCATGGAGTTGGAAAGGCAGAAACTGCCATGTTTAGACATTCTGCCTGCTGAATCGTGTAACAGAGGCATGAAAAATAAAAAAAAAAAAATAAAATATGCATCAGTTTCTGTTTAATAAGTTCTCTATCTTCTCAATATTAATCTTCCACCTTATTACTGCATCCTTAATAAGAAACTACTTTTTAAAGGTTTGTCAATATATGCTGAGCTTTAAGAATTTGAGGATGTATAAAAAAGTGAAGTCAGTACCCAGGTGGCAGCATTTTGTCCATGGAGTCTGCTCAACATGGGCCATAGCACCTGTCTTCTAATGCAGGCACAAGTTGAATGTTTTGCACAGAATCAGTGTTAAGCCTTTTTTTCTCTCTCTGCTCTTCCTGGTTGACAYTGCAGTCATTCCTCCTCAACTGCTTTGAATCTTGGTATTTTCATGGCATTGATTCCCTGTCGTTTTGATGGGGTTTTGCTCATTTCACACACATGAAATATTCACCTTTATGTTCCCAGGAGTGCAGAAAGAAGGCAGAAATTATCTTTAGGGCTTAATGAAAGACTGCAGAGCATCACCAAGGGTGGAATTTATTTGTTTTTGCCTGAAGACCACCTGACACACAMMCACACAAACACACAGACAAGCACATCTTTGTGTAATGGTGACCTTAGCTGAGATTTGAGCTGAGGAGTAAGAACGAGCATCTGAAACGTAACTWAGATGTTAAAAGATTTAGGAGTAGATGAAATGTGATAGTTGGTAGCATTTTAAAACCCAGAAAGAGTAACACTGGTTTTATAGATCTGTTGGAATGGTTGAAGATGAGATGTACAACAAGAAAAGACAGAACAAAGAGACTCTTTTTAATGATAAATCCTTGTTCAGCCCTTCACTACCCTGAATGTTATTTTACCTTATCGCACCTTATCAAGGGTATCTGATGGATATTTTTTCTCTATCTCTAGTCCTTTCTCTCTCTTTTTTTTTTTTTTTGCTATGTGATTCTGAGGAAACACAGCTGCTGCTGCTGCAAACGTGACCATCCTTTCCCCTACATTTTTCCTGTAGTCTTTTGCTTTAGGGTATTGCCTCTTTGAGGGAGAGATGCACAAAGATGAAGAATTTCAAAGGAGGCACCAGCTGTTATGTTTGCCCCTGCTCATTCAGCTGCCAGCARTGAGCTGCTGCTTGTAGCTCCTTCTCTATCAAAATATCCTGCATTGTTTTAATAAAATCTCTTTCCTTTCACATAGTCTGATCAKAAATTATTACACAGGACAAACATTGATCCTGTCTGACCCCTCTGTGTTAGTGGCACTKCCTTTAATGACCTGGAAGCCTGTAAGGCCATTCATTTTCATTCCTAATTCCTGTCATTAAGTGAGTTGAAGATCCTGTTTTTCCATTGTCAGTGCAACCTGTAATTAAGTGTTTCACGGTGCATCACACAAGCTGCAAAATTATGTGATTTTTATTTCATTTTGTTAGATTTACTTTATAATGTAAATTTACATTATTATGTAAATCTAGATTGRCACTTTGCATGTCTATTTTTAGCARTTCTCATTTCCATACCTACACAACCCCCAAGCAGCTGATTGAAAATTTGTGTTACAGGTTCATAACAGCTCCTCTCTTTGTAAAGCGTTTTTGATTCCTTATTAAAGAACATGCACAGATATTTTGTTGAACAATACTGGTAAAACTCCAGTTTGATAGAGAGTGCTTTTATAATCAAAGTGTTCTATTAATATTGTTTCTAGGCAGCAGTCACTGCAAACCATACTGAGCAGATATTTTAATTCTATAAGCAAATACAAAATGTGGGCAAGTATCGTTGCTGCACTGTGATGAACTGACAGCCAGTGAATGAATCCACTTGGATAAAGAAAGAAAACTAAAATTTTGCACTTTTTGGAAACAAAATGACACTCAGAGATTTCTTGGATTTGGCATCTCTTGATATCTGTTCTTCTGTTGTCTTTTGGTACCATGAAATAGGGAAAGAACACCTTTAAAAGTCTGGATTTGGACCAGAAGGAGACTTGACAAAATACCAAAACAAAACCAGTAAACAATCCTTCCAAGATGGTTGTAAATTCACCTCACACAGGAGGTCTAATGGTTTATTATCTCATTCAGAATAACTCTGCTTTGACTTCTCGACAGGCCTCAGTCACACCAGTCAGTCATGTTATTTCCTAACACATCATCAGTTTTGGAGTAAAAGAAGGGGTTTTTCCCCTTGTGAGTGGTATTAGGGCTATATATAATGCCTTGAGAGATGAAGATTTAATCTTCTTTCTCTGGAAAAAAGTGTGGATTTTTGTAGCTTTTTTTTTTTCTCTCTGAGTTACCATAGGCACGTCCTTTATTTCAGGTAGAAACCTCCTGTTTTTCATTCTATAAAATGCTTCCTTCCAGCATTAACAAAACTTCTAGGTGTGACTTACCATTTCTGTATCATTCATGATCTCTATCCCTCTGCCATGTCTCCTCTCTAAACCTGCAGTCTGGGTGTTTTAAAGTCTCCTTCCATGGAAGGCTAAGTCCTGATCTCTAATCTGGTTTCCAGCTGCTCYACTGCTGTTTCTGCCATGTCTTTTTTGAGATAGGGTGGTGAGCACTGAACAGAGTCTTCCAGGTGAGGGAGTTCCTTATACTTTGTGTATTTCTTTTACGTTTCCCATTGTGCTGCCACACCATTTGTTTTCTTTTTTTTATTTTTTATAATGTGCATTGAAGATCATTTCCTGCTTATTATTTTTGTTTTTTTCATAGCATTTCACTGCGAGCATGGAAATATTAGATTGCCTGTATGACTAAGGCCTGGCTATAAAAGTGGTCTGATCTATATCAGGTCTATAAATAAGCAAACAATGAGGGCAAGGGCATGTGGATTAATTTGGACAGGTGTATAAATGCATTAACTTGCTAGTTCATTTTTAAGTGGTACTCACTGTTTTATGTGTATTTGTTGTGTGATTGTCTTGCACGTCATCACACACATTTTTGTTGTATTTGTGATAATACAGACTACTAATACAGTTAATTTTTAGGGTTATTTGGAGCTCTTTTCATCTTAGTGTCCAGAAAAAAATAATTTTTTTGTCTTTTTTTTTTTTTTTTTTTCTCTGGATTTCAGACAGATACGTCATCGTTGGCAGCCATCACAGCAGTTTGAGGGGTTATGGTGGGCAGGGATGGGCCAGCAGCTCTGCTGTCATCACAGCCCTGCTCCAAGCCCTGATGCCAAAGGTGAAGAGGGGCTGGAGACCTGACAGGACCCTGCTCTTCTGCTCCTGGGGAGGAACAGCCTTTGGGAACATCGGCTCCTACGAGTGGGCTGAGGTAAAACAGCTTCAGGGGGACTCATGGCACAAAGGATTGCTTCTGTGGAAAGCACAGAAACAATAGGAAATTGCCACATGGAAATTGTGGCTCATTAAAGGGTCTCTGAGGTCTGTGTTCCTTCATGCACTCCACAGCAAATGCAGGGAAAGATCTACAGAGGGCATTCCTGAGGATGATGAGATGGCAGGATGGTGCCATGGCTGTGGAGGTTGAATTTTTAGCACCTTTGGGAGCTCATTTCCCTCCTTAATTCACCACAGAGGGTGGAAAACCTCAAAAAAGCAACATAAACACAGAAATAGCTCAGAGAGCTTTCTCACCTTCTTGAAGGTTTAGTATTTAATAATTTTAATTGATAGGCTTAGTGTGGAGAGAAGTGAATCAAAAGAGGAARAAGAGAACCATGCTGTGGTTTGCACTGATTAGATAAACTTTGCAGGGTCTCCATGGCTGGTGCTGAATTAATTCTCAGATTTGTGCTAAGGAGTTGGATCCAATCTGACACAGACAACTTTGGGCTCTTACTTTCAGCAGAATAGGAATCAGCTGATTGAAAGAAAATACTGCAAAAAGTATTGATGATCATATATGGCCACCTCAAAAAGCCATGATACATAGCTAAAGTGGATTTCAGATCATAAACTAAAGTACTAGAATTTCATGGCTGCTTTTTCCATCTCTAATGGTTCAGTGGATCAAAACAGTAGATAAAATAAAGAGTTAATTGCTTTTTACCGTGTGTAAGAAGCAGCCAGCCCTCATTGAAATTTCATACTTCCAACATGATTATTCTTCAGAAACAAGAGGGGGTGAAAAAATCAAATTGAAAAGATCCAGGCTGGAAGCAAAATTTGTTTAGTTCCACTTCAAGTCAGCTTTGCATCAGATGTAATTGCGTTACACCCCTTCTGTTCAATATAAAGAGCCACTTCATGCAAACAGGAACTCATTTCTGAGAAGGCAAAGGGGATCCTTTTAAAAAAGAGATAATAATTGAAACAGTTTGTACATGCTATTTTTATCGTCTAAAAAATAATAAAACACTGGGAGAGTTACACAATTCAAATCTGAATTTGGTCTCTAAATATTTGAGTCCATTTAATTGTTGAAAATGATTGCTTTTGAAGTTTCTCTTCCGTCAGGCATAAGTTTAAAAGGCCATCATGTTGCTTTACAGTGTGTAATGTTTTTATTTTTGGCCTTACAAGTGTAATAATTTTTAATTCCTCCCAGACCTGTTTGCATTTTCTTTAGATGATGTGTGAAATGAAATTATAACTTCTGCTATATAGAGAAATAGCACCAAAATATCCTTTGAAGTTCATAATAGCTTATTGTAAGAAGCAGCAGTTAACTAATACTTGGGGAATCACAGAGGATGGAAACTTAGGGTGCAGTTTTCCCCTAGAAGGAGCCAAGAGAATAAAACAAGCCTTCATTAAAATGGTGCATGGTAGTAACCCTTCTTCTGCTTGTTTTGTAGGATCTCAGGAGTGTTCTTCACAGAAATGTTGTGGCTTACATTGGCCTCCATAACCCGGTCAGAGGAAACTCAACTTTACACCCCGTTGCATCCCCTTCTCTTCAGCAGCTGGCAGCAGAGGTTAGAAATTAAATACTTGATCTTACGTGTGGTTTATGAGGTTTCATGGTTAACCCCTTTAATATCAGTTGGTATTGGATTGCAATGGGTGGAGGTTGTTTTAAGAATTTTAACCTCACAAATACACATGAACTGGTTTTACTAAGTAAGCAGGTTAAATTTTATTTTGAAAAATAATGTATTAAGAGGTTGGAAGGGATAACTTGTTTCACGTATTTCTTATACAAAGTCTCACCAAACTTGCATGCCCTACAGCTTTTTTACCTTTCCACAGCTTTAAAGTAACATATTTGTTTTCCTTTGGCACAGAGCATGTTTTTCTCATCCTAATCAGGTCTTTGCAGACGGTTTCTCAATTTGCATTTAAACCTGTRTATTTACCAGATGTAACATGACACACAGGGAGAGTGTTACTGTAATAAATAATGTCTGAACTGTGTATGTCAGGCTCAGTGATGCCTTTGCRGCTCTTCTGGAGGCAGAATATTCCATGGTTGCACTGGGGTGAGGGCACATCAGCCTTAAACTAATGACCTTATGGCTGTTCCTGAGGTTTGTGAATTTATCAATATTTTATATGAATGGAAAATAGTATCAGACACATTCTAAATGACAAAACCAGTTTGAAGTGATACGCGTAAAACGGAGTTCAATTTCACTTTCATAAATTATGCTTTTTAGATGTTTTTTTCTGTAAGTTTGCCAAGTGAATTCTTATTCTGATGTTTCTTTGACTTGCCTCTGAAGCATTTGGTAATAAACACTCCTCCAAGCAGCATCTTGAATTAAATGCAGTTTAAGACTTATCTGGCTTGGCAATTGTTCAACTAAGTTAGCAAAATTATATCAGTAAATTGCTTCTTAGCAATGTCCTACCCATTTCTCCTGTCCAGTGATTAAGTGGTAATTTCCTCATGGAAAGAATCTGGTTTATTCCATGWAAGTATTGTGAAAAATGTGATGCAACATCATTTCAGAGAGAAAAGAAAAAGTTTCTATGTGTGGAAAATTATTTATAATGTCGTATATGTGAGTATGCAGGTGTTATGGATATGTCAATTCAAATTTTATTATCAGTTTTAGCTATTGTATTTGCAAAAAATACTGTGCTGAGAAGTTGCTAGCCTTTTGCTAACCTGGTGGTGTTGGCAGTTCTGTCTCCATTAAAACAAGTGTTTGCTGTTTAAAGGAGTAAGTTTATTACATTAGGTCCTTGAGCTATTTGGTTTTTTCTCATTTTATTTCTTTGACTTCACAATACAATCCATGGCAGTGATATGAAAACTAAATTGTCTGGAGCTTTGCAGCAGTCCCTTTATTATCTATTTATCACTTTATTAAGACTYGAGTCTTTCATTCTAATAAATGCCATAATAGTATGAGCGTTACATTCATGCCCYCTGTTTTGGARAKGAAGCAAAKTAAATCTCTTTTTCACTTCCTCTWTATTTWTTTAWTTTTTTTTTAGTTCCAGTWAACACCTTTCATCTMATTTCTGATTCTTTAATATGGGGAATGTATCCCTTCTGCATGTTTACCCTGAAGCCCCATTTTAAAAGTAAAGGATAAAATCCCTGTGTGAGCGTTTTATCTGTAAAGCTTTACTTCTTGTAGGATATTATTATTTGTAATTAATRTAACTGTCATACAATTTGTGACATTAAAATGATTTGTGGGATTTATTGCTTGGAAATGCTGGCTAGGATTCTGAATTCATGTGAAGTGCATTGGCAGATCCTCATTTGTCCCCATGGGTCCTCACAATTTGCTTCATGTCCAGGAGATTTTCTCTTACAAAGAATGTTGATATTACTGCCAGCATCTGCCAAGAAGACAAAGTAATTACAGATTATCTCTAAATTAGGATAGTGAAAATGGGTTGAGATGTTACTTTTTGGAGCTCATTTTGTCTTGAAGAAATTGTGATTCTATTCACAGGAGATTCTTRCTATCAGGTGCATGTTGCAAAGAAGTGGTTTAAAATCCCAATGAGAAAAAAGGATCATTTTAATTTGCAAGAGCTCAGAAATTAAGTTAGAACACAAAAGAGGGTGAAATAGGAATTCAGAATTAATATCACTTCGTTTTTAAATGAAAAGATAGACTAGCCWGTCTTGTTTAGTTAGCTAGAAGTTTTCCATAATTTGTGAATACATGGAAGATACTGCACTGTGCCTTTGGGTCCAGTGGTAAAACTCWCAATTCCATTTTCAGGCCATAACAAGAGAAACTTGTCCTTCTACTGSTAAGCAGTGCTATGACATTGTTTAGAGGTGAGGGAGACTAAAATGTCACCATTTGTGTTGGGTTTTGTTYGGTGCTCACTGTTGTGCTAAAGTTGTGTGTGAAAGAGAGGGAGAATGTATTCCTAGGGAAAATTAATACAATGCCACAAAAGACTGCTAAGGTTAAGTGTTGGGATTCTGGGGATAACAATGAGAAACTGTAGTTTTTCCTGTGAAAGGGAACTCAACTAAAATTCACACTAAGTGCAGAGCACTCYGTGGATGCTGCAAGGGGCATAATTTAAAGAGAACTGTGGGCAAGTRGCAAACTAAGATGGGCCARTGCACACAGCAGTGTTTSCTTTCTGTGCTGAGGTTTTTTGCCCTGAAATAGAATTTTGGACTCTTGCTAATCACTGCAGCTTCCAAAATACTTTTTTTTCCCTTCATTTCTGGGAAAATTAGGGAAGAGGTTTTAGCAGRAATGCTGTTTGTGTGGATATTCTAAACTTAACAATGAAAAGAAGAATCAGAATCTTAATGAGTTGCTACGWGAGGTCTGGCAATCAGAGAATAGGATGAGTGCTTAGCTAATTACCAGAGACCATGTTTCTTAAAGGTGTTTTTGTATAAAGGGATTATATCTTCATATTAGTTGCAGGTTTCAAAAGGGAGCTACATAAGCAGTCTGCAAATAATAATTTTTATATGCCTTTCTGCGGGATTCAGTGGGTGAAATACYAAATTACATGAAGAAGCTAATTTAAATATTTGGATTAATTAAGCAAAGAGGAACTCAAACAGTTCTGAGACCTTGACATATTTAATTCAAATCTTTTTTATATAACTAATTAGTGTCCACATTAACAAGGGGGAAGTACTGCCAAGTGATATTTTTGYCTACTGTTATTTTGTAAGGAAAATGATGGTTAATTCTCTTGCTCAGTTGGTGAATCACCATTTGCTGGCAGAGTGTCATTGGTAAATTGGGTTTGTTCGAGGCTGGGATTCATTCTCTGTAAATAAGGCCGTTAATGATTTTTTTTCTATAATGGACATGTCATGAGGAAAAAAAAGTTATTATGAAACATAAATTCATTGCTGTTATCTTTTAACTGATTGTGTGACCATCAGACTCCAGAGCTTCTGTTACTGCTGAGCCCAACAAAACTTAACTGCCCCTGTCTCACAAGGAAAAGAGTGATTTTTAAAGCTATTGATGAACAAGTTGATCATTAAAAATKACTGTGCTAAGCATTGTTCATTGCTATTTATCACTATTTGTTTCTACTAATGGAGTAAAAGGCATAAAACATCTCTGCATTTAAAGGTGGTGTTATTGACAGAAAACTCTTTTTTCTTTATGAAGTAGAGCTAAAGATAAACTTCTGCATAGGTGMTACTGTCATTATTTCTTGATTTTTAGGAAAAAAAAAAAGTCTTACATTGTCAGCATTGATTTCCTTCTTCCAACTTCTATGTGTTTCTCATTTATTTTTTTATACTGTCAGCTTTAATGGTGGATATGTCTCCTGGTGTTGTAAATCAGTAGTTGTAAATAAATCCTGGGCCAGGAACTGAGGTGAAAATGTTGACCTGAGCCTCACTGGGARTCAGGTGCAGCCTGGGATTCCTGCTCATGCTGAGAGATTTTGAGCTTGAAAGTTCTGTTTCAATGTGGACCCTTGCCATGCATGGAGGGCTGTTACGTGTCTTCTAGTGTTCAGGTTTGGAAATCATCTCAAAATTATGGTGATTGGTGYATTTTCATTATGTAAATTTGTCACCCAAAGTACCCCTTTCATTTCAGTGTTGTCACAGTAAAACTTCTTACATGTGAAAACAAAATCTTGATTGCTTTAAGGCTGTTTATTGAGTTTTTGTGTCTCTTGTTCAGGCATATCTATATATTAAATACCCAAATTTGGGGAAAAAAAAAGAAAGAAAAAGAAAACAAAAAGCCAAAATAAAATCTCAAAACAAGCACCTGGGGAAAAAAAAAATCCTAAAATTTAATCTTACGTGTATTTATTGGCTTAGAATGAATGAAGAACTTAGTAATGATTTCCTTTGATTAATTCTTTGAAACCAGGTGTGAGGAGAATTATTCCAAATCCRTTTAAAACTGTGATAGTTTGTATAATCACAAGCATAGACTTGAACTCTTCTGGCGTTTGCCTGGTTTGTTCGTTCTCCATCTGTTTACCACAGGCATATTCTGGTGATGGTGTCTTGTCCGGTGTTTAAAAAAAATACCATTAAACAGAGATAGAAGGTTTGGGACACCAGGAGCTGGGAATACGAAATTTCAAAAGTAATTTCAAGCCAATTAAATAGTTGTGAAAAATACCTTTTTCCAAATTATTCCTGAAGTTCTCAATTCAGGAGCTCAGTAATGTAGCTGAGGTGCATTTTTATTTATTGAGTCAAAGAGCCACAATTCCCATAGCRTTAGTCCTGTCTAGAAGTGCTCACAGAACGGGACTTCACTGAATATAACAGAGAGAAATGTTGCAGCAGATAATCTCAGATGTCAGGAAAAGCCAAAATGCAAGGARCAGTTTTCTTGGAGGTTCTGCAAAAAGCTTTCTTTTGGCAGCTAAAAGGTCATACAGCTCCAACCTTTGTCTCCTGACAGAGCATTGAAAGAGATTTCAAAACCTGTTTTGTAGCCTTCTATTTTAACACTTTAAATGCTTTAAGTTTCCTTTCAAGAGGAGCCTGAAAACATTTAGGAGAGTTTCTGACTTCTCTACTTTGTATCCTGTCATCCTT